CACATCAATATTTCTCTTCCTCCCTCTCTTCCCCTCTGTCTAAAATAAATAAATAAAATATTTAAAAATAATTTCAAAAAGAATTATATTTAAAAAGTAGAAAAACAAGCATAGGCTGAAAATATTTTTAATTCTTTGAATATTTATCTGTTAAAAATACTTTATGAGGTTTTATTTTTATTCTGTTTTTTCTTACTGTGATCTGTTTGCATTCAACCATATATGAAATTTGTAAATTAGAATTTTTAAATGATTTTATTTATTTTCAAAGAGAAGGGAGGGGAGGGAGAAAGAGAGAGAAAGAAACATCAATGTGCCAGAGAAATACTGATCAATCGCCCCTTGCATTCGCCCAGGGAGACCTGGCTCACAATGGAGCCATGTGCCATAACTGACAATCAAACCAGTGACTTTTCAATTTGCAGGACAAGGCCCAGCCCACTGAGCCACACCAGACAGGGCCGTGAATTTAAAAAAATTTTTAAGTCACCTATCGGATCAGAATGAATGAGCTCTTGAGGGCTTTGAAATTGCATACTGCTCGATAAGGCAAAGTCATTGCTCTTAGGGGATTCATGGGTTGTTCAGATAATTTCTTCTCATCTCACAACACCCCCCCCCCCCAGCTCTTTGCATAGCAAGCCTGGGGTGTGGCTAAGTCAAGGATTCTTGCCTTCCTTCTAACAAAGCCTGAGGTAACTGAGTGAATAATAAGGATTTGTATTGCTTTACTCAAAAAGGGAGGGAGGGAGGGAGGGAGAAGGGGGGGATAAGAAGGAAGAAGAGGGAAGGAGGGAAATTGCATGCCGTTAATGCTATGAAAGCAATCACCTGTAAAAGTTTAGGTTTGGATATACTCTCTATAGGTCAGGAAAGTAGAAAGTATGTTTTCTTTCTATAAAAACTCTCGTATTTTAAAATTAGGAATGCAGTAATATTTATAAGAAAGCGTAGTCTTTTATTTTTTTTAAATGAAAAAAGAGGTAAAATAATTAATTTTGTATCCCAATATTGAACTGTACTTAAAGGATCTTTAGTAGAATAGGCTTATAGAACATTATACTCAGAAACAGGAGTGAGGTTTTTAAGGTAAACCTTTAGTCTCTCAGAGGCCGTATTGTGCCCAGAAGTATATAGAAATAATGAAATACAGAGAGCTGAATGAGGGCTTACAAATCATTCTTTGTCATGTTGAGAATTGGAAGTGGCCCACCCCAGCATTCTTCCAGTGGGAAACCTGATAAACCTTCCAAAAGGCTGGAGGGTGTAAGGCAGAAATGTATATGAACACACATTAGGTAAGGCTTCCAGGGCTACTGGAAATTTTATTTTAATGGATGGGGCATTCATGAACTACCATAGTTAATTGTAGACTGCATGAATCTGAAACCCAAGTCTGTAAAACCTTGGGCAAGTTAATCACTCTGTTCCTCAACTTCCTCATCTGTAAAATGTAGATGAAAATAGCACTTCTTAGGATTGTGAGAATGAAATTAATGCTAGTTAGAATTTAGCAGTCAGTGAATGTTAGTTCTTATTTGTGTATTTAAAAATAAGAAGGAAGCCTTAGCAACTTAATATAACAAATTTTGGAGATACTTAGCAATGTCTATTATCTAGAGGTTTGTATGTTCAGTCATTAAAAGTAACAGACATAGCCCTAACTAATGTGGCACAGTGGAATGGGCATTGTATGGCAAACCAAAAGTTCAATGGTTGGATTCCTAGTTAGAGCATATGCCTGGGTAGCGGTCTAGGTCCCTGGTTGGGAGAGTGTGGAAGACTACCAATCGATATTTCTCTGGCATATCAGTGTTTCTCTCCCTCTCCCCCTCCCTTCCTGTCTCTTCCAAAATAAATAAATAAAAATCTTTTTTTAAGAAGATAACATGCATAGAGTGAATTCTTTTGGGTTGTGGAATATTGTGTGGTTTACAGTTATTGGTCCTTATTAAAATATGTAGTTTTCCTAAGGAAACACTAAACCATGTTTTCTGCAACTTTGTGTTAAGTATATTTAAAGAGCCCAATTTATTGGGAAAAAATTCATTCTTGTTAATTCACCTATGGTTAGTAATGGTAATTAATACACCATTACTCTCAGTTATCCCAAATTATGTACCTGGATTATGAGACATGAACGGAGTTAGTTGTGGTAGTCCTCAGAAAAGATGGGAATGTTCATGCAGCACAGAGAGATGACAATTTTTAAACCGTTCATAGAAATAGAGTATACTGAAAGAGAAATGCTGCGTCGCTCACCCAGTAACTGTAAAACACTATACTCAATCACCCAGAAGACCAACAAGTGAAACCATCTAGCTTTTAGGCTAGGAATTGCTGAAAAATTATAATATACTATATTTAATATAGGAAATGAAACAAACATGCCAAATTTTAAATAATGACAAAAGGTAGATATAAAGGACCATAAGTGAGTGCCTGATTAATTAGCTAAGCAATTTGCAATAATTAGTGTAGAAAATCAGGAGAGAAAGAGAGGTTTTAATGTCACGTTGATGGAAATTTCCTTTTAGGAGGAAGCAGTTTGGGTTGACCAAGAGATAAGAGATAAACAACAAAAATGCAGCCGGAGTCAGATCGTAGAAGATCAAGAGTTTTGCCGAAAGACATTGGGGATTCATTTCATAGCTGCTCACCACATAGACAGATATGCACCCCATCTTGTAGATTTCAGAGGTGCATAGCTCCCTGTTTGTGAAGACATTTGGGAAGCCCAGGACTGTTTACCGGCTACTACGCAGCACTAGGCCTGAGGAAAGAATCAACTGTAGTCATGAACTGAAGGTTGACTTTAACCTAGGTTAACTAGGTGGGTAAAAGAAACTAAGTACACATGTCTTTAAAGGTTTAGTAGTTATTAAGATCAACATTCTTATTATGTATAGCGAAGACTCAGATACTTTTTATTGACATTTTTAATGAAAAATAAAAAAACTGTACTTGAAAAATAACTAAATAAAATTTAAAAAAGAATCTAAAGAGTATGTGTATCTGAATATATTATTTTTACTGCAAAGTATTTCTGGACCTGTTCATAAGAATTTTCAAAACTAAAATGCCAACAGCCTATTTGATGTTATTTTTAGTAAGTTTATATGTGTGTGTTCTTGAGGGAAATGATTTGACACTTTCTCTTTTTAAAAATGTTGGCTTTGTATTTAAGCAGAAAATGATGCTAGAGAGCTTTTTCCCTCCCACTAAGTTAGGGACAAAAAAATTTTAATTCTAAGCCATTAAATGAATGGTTCTAGTTATGTATGAGGTTCTAGGTTAAATTTCCATTGTGAAATATAATTGGTGGTTTTTGTCTTGTTCTGTTTTGTTTGCCACAAGTATTTTATTGATTACCTGCACAGTTTACTTAGGAGGATGCCAGAACTTACAAAACATATAATCCATAAGCATTATTTTAGCTTATTTACATTGATTTATTGCCAAAGTTCTGTTTACTCTATGTTTAAAGTTACTTCCTACTGAGTGGGTCTCAGGATTTTCTTTTAATATTAGAAATATAATCTTAGAATAAAACTCAAGAAGTATTTCTATAAATGTTCATAATGAAGGTCAGTTGGTAGTCAGTGTTCAGAAACACTGAGAGCACTGTTTTACAAGGACTGTAGACCTTTGCATTGTAATCATCAGAGATGATTTAAAAAGAGAGCGTCCATGGCCTTAGCCTCCTTCTCCAAATCATCAGCTCTGGGCATGTTACCTGAGAATTTATATTTCAAAGTAAAACCTTTCGTCTGTGAGTGCATTATAGTTTGGAATTCACTGCTACTACCATTTATGTCATGTGTGGATCCATGTAATCTATTACATAGTTGTAGAGATGGGTGTGTGTGTGTGTGTGATGGATGAATTGAAGTAATTTTAGATATTTAGTAGTCAGATCAGCAATTATCTCAATACTTTTAATAGAACTCTGTAGACAGTATTTTTTTAAGATAGTGCCTTATTACTTAATTTGTATAATCTAAGGCAAATAGTTTCAGTGAGATTATTTCTTACCTGAAGAACAAATATACTTCCTTAATACTTTTTTAAAATACCTGGGCCCAGGCCCCACATAGTAACAATTAAATCAAAACATCGAAGGAATAGGCTGAGTCCTTATAAACGTATATTAAACAGTTCCAAGTGGTTTTAATGTGCAGCTGAAACTGAGAAAGAGGGATCTACACAAATGACCAAAAAGAACAATGATGTTGCTAATTCAAAATTACTAATATTTGGCTTGGAAATCCATAATACTCAAAACACATACTAAAGGTATGACTCTGTAGCATCCAAATCCTGTTATCCCTAACTACTATTCTGTGACTCATTTAAAAAATAATCAAAGAAAATTAGAATCAAATTCTTTCTGCAAAGAATATTTTCTCTGGGTAATTTCAGTTCTCTTTTAGAGGCAATTTCTCTTCCAGTATCTCTACTAAGCTTCACTAGGTTGGTATAAAGTACTGATTAGGCTGTTTGATTGATAAGGGAAATAAAATGTTGACCTTTTCTTGGGGACAGATATATTTAATTAGTTTATTTTTATGATTTTTGGCGTTTATAGGCAACTCAAATATAATCAGGAATTATTTTTAATTATCTATTTTGAACAAGCAAAATATTTTCTAGAGTGTGGCTATGTGCATGTAGGATATCAGCATCAATATGTTGATAAAATTTTATTTTAAAAAATGTTCATAGGACCTAGGCAACCCCATAAAATTAGTACTGTAAAAAGTGCTAAAGTTTATGGCATGGATCAAAATATATGTTCCACAGAACTTTCTGATTTTTCTAATGTGAAAATCTCATCATTTTTATACTTACATAAAACACATCCTTTGATACACACCTCCCTTTATCCAGACTCATTACACAAAGTCATAAAGAATTTCAAGATCTGCTTTTACATTTAGGTAAATGAAACCATATTTGTAACATTAAATTTATGATATTTTCTTACATTTCTCTTTTAGATGCTTTTTGAGAATACCAGTTTCTGCATATGGGAAGTAGATATTGAAAGTTATATGGTTTACAGACAATATCTTTAAAAGACAGACACTCAAGGTAAGTAGTAACTATAGCCTCATAGATAATCTCATTTAAATGGTTATGGTTGCCAGACTGTAATTTGACTTGCAGAACTTGCTTATGTTTTATCACTGGCCCTGTCTAAGGGATTTCACAGCCATATTCATTCGTATTCAGACACAAATTTTTATGCCATAATACCATCTTGACAGGAAGTATTGGATTTTATTTACCATAGGCTGTTATAAACTCGATATATTATTGTGGAAGAAAGCAAATCAATTAAGAAGAGTGGAGAAGTAGCTTCCATCAACTGTGAGCACAACTCACTCTGTAGTGTTTAACTTGCAAAAATAATTAAACAAAAACTACCATGCACTGCACTTCCTTTTTAATGTATTCATTAATCTGTTCTTTAACCATGATAAGAACTTGTCCAAGAACCCTGTCATAGTTTCAGATACTCACAGTATTACCTCTGAATACCAAACCTCTTTTCATTATTTCTTGAGTCCTCCAAAATTTGTTTTGACCTACCATATTCTTTCACTTAGCATGTTCTATTCATACCTCTGGTGATTATGTGCTTAATTACATTACTACATTTAATGTAGTGCTTACATTACTACATTTAATGTACCTCTGGTGATTATGTGCTTACATTTAATACATTTTGGTAAAATTCTGAGTGAGATTATGAGGGTTAAAATTATAAATAATGTTGTATGTCAGGTGTAAATGTGACCTCTAAATGGGCCACTTCCGTTCAGTTCTAGAATCCTTTTCTAAGTGGAAATAAAGACCAGTAAAAATTATATCTTATGATTTATTTCAGAAGAAACCAGAAATACAGATTTTTGAGAAGTCCTAATTTTTCAATATCAGCATAAAATTTTGCCAGTGAAAAAAATCTACTTTTGCTACTGTGTGAGCTAAATAAAACAGTTTATAGCCTCTGGTAGGGGAATTTTTTCCTTTGTTCTATGTTTCTTTATTCTTTTAGAATGCAAAAACTAAGAATCTGTTCATTTTAATTTGTAGTTAGCAGCGTACTGATTTTGCTAGTTTTCTGTGATGACTATTATTGTCAGAAATGACTTCTCTTGAAAATATAAATGATATAAATACTACTTATTTTTAATTCATTTGTACAGTTATATATGGTGAGTTGGTTACTTGGAACAGCTATCCGATTGTTTTCTGAATTATAATAATTAGACAGTTATTTTTATAGTTTCTTCATCTCCCCAGCCTAAAACAGAGCCCTCTAAGGAAAAGAAAAAGGAATCATGCGTTTTGTATTGGTCCTTTTGTACAGAGAACAGAGTAAATCACACTGCTCAGTACATGACACAGTTGTCATCACTGGTCCATGCAAAGCACTTATTTTATTTATTTATGAATTTTCATTTATTCTCATTTTCACTCTCATGCTCCTGACCTCAACCCATGGGCAACCATTCTCCTGTGATAGTCTAAAATAATATCCACTATACTGTGTCTTTGGTTTGCATGCAATATTGTCCTAATATGGGTATTGTATACATGTATTTTAAATTTTTTAATGGAAATGTTCAAATAATTAGAAAAGGGAAAATAATATTTTGAACCTCCATGTGCCCATCTCTCACCTTCAGCAGTTACATCCCATGATGAGCTTGTCATAACTGTATCTCTACCCTGCCCCTCCCCCATTTGTATACATGAAATTCTAATACGTGTAGATAGTATTGTGTTCTGTATCTCATTCTGGTTCCTACTATTTTATATTACCTAACTTTATATTTTCTTATTTGCCTATGTAGTTGTGTTTACATTGCTTCTGACTGCTGCATCGTATTCCATGATTTGTAGCTACCATGTTTTAACTCTCCATGTTTACCAGTGACAGCCACCCTGGTTGCTTCCAATTTCCTGTTACAACAAACAATGCCTGTTGAACATCCTCACACTTGTCCTTTCGTGGAATTTTGTGAGGATTTCTTTAGGATGTACACCAAAGATCAGAATTGCTGGGTAATGGGATATGTGTTTATACTTAATATAACCAAGTGCTGCGAGATGCTCTACCAGATAAACACTTTGGTCCATACTTTGCCCAGCATTAACCCTTCATTGCTGCCTACCCCTGCATTTTTGAGCTTTCTCATATTTTCAGCCTAATGTGTATAATTTTATAGCACAGGGTTTTAATTTTAATTTCCCTCATCACTAATGAGTTTGAGCATCTCTTTATATTGTTGTTGCCCTTTTGACTTCCCACTTCTGAAACTGGTTGTTAACATTTTTTCATATTCATTCTTATCTCTCAATGTTTTTTAAGAGTTTGTTGTGTATTTCAGATACTCATTTCTGTCAGTTTGAGATATTAAAATATTTCTGCTTCTCTTCTTTCAACATTTTGATTTTGTGCATGAGGTTCCTCAAGTAGACATTAATATTTTAAATGTTCAATTAAAAACATATTCTTGATGTATGTTGTTGGTATAGAAAAATGCCACTCATGTTTTAAAATTTGATCTTGGTTCTGGCAATGTTTCTGAACTCTTGTTCTTAATCGGTTGTTTTTTTCTAGATGGAGTATCTTATATTGATTACAAATAATGACAGTTTTATTTCTGTACTTTTCATCTGTATGTTTTTACTTCTTCCCAATATCTTTGGTCCGTTTCTTGGGAACTATGTTGAACAGTTGTAGTGACAGTGGGCATCTTCCTCTTATACAGGTCAACTTAAAGAGGATGCATCTAATTTCTTAATTTAAGTGTAATGTTTGCTAAAAGTTTTCAACACACAATGTTTACCAAGTTAAGAAAGTTTCTTCTATTTCTAGCTTACTGTGCATTATCATAAATAGCTATTGAACCCCATAAGATGATTTTTTATGCATCTGTAAAAATAATCATATGATATTTATCCTGTGGTATATTAATGTTATGAATTATATGGATAGAATTTTTACTGTTAAACCATTCCTGCTTTCCTAATTTATACACTACTCGATCATGGTGTATCATTTCTAATACATCATTGTATTTGATTAACAAATATTTTATTTAGGATTTTAGAAGATACATTCTTAAGTGAAATGGGCTGTAATTTTTTTAATTTTCCTCATCTGGTTTCACATTTAAGATTACACTAGCTTATATTATAAAATGAGATAGGCAGATTTTATTCTTTTTCAACATTATCTAGAGCAATATTATGATATATGAATTTATTGTTTCTTAGATATGTGTTAAAATTCATGTAAAACTGTCCGGTTCTGATTGAGAGATTTCTTAGAAAGGTACTTATGCCTTAATGCTTTTTGGTCTATTCAGTAGGGTTTTTTTTCTTAGCTTCTTCCCAGTCCCCTTCCCATGACACCTGATGTTCTCCCCATCTGCAAGTATCACCCGAACCCAGTGTCCTTTGAGTCAGAAAATACCCAGAAAGCCCTGCTGTCCACTTTTCAACTTAGCCATATAATGGTCATCCTCTTTAGGACTGACCAGAGATTCAGCATCCTAACCCTGACCAGGGTGCTCTCATCTGCCCAGTCTGGCTTCACTCGAACTCTCACTACCACATACCTAAACTAAACCTGTACTCCAACAGTTTTTGACTTTCTTATAACCAAAAACTTTGGTTAATGATGCCCTGAATTGACTTCTTTATATTTCTTAAAACTGTTGCCATACTTCTGAAAAATATTTTGACAAAGAAATAAATAAGGAGTTAGGTTCAGGGAAGATTAGTGTCTGGGAAAATTGAGGCAGTCACCTGTTCTAACATTCTTCACAGTATAAATCAAATTATAATTAACTCTGGAAGGTTGTCACTTTCCCTCCAGAGTTTGAAACATTATAATAAGCATGTGTGTTATCAAAAAAATTAAAGATATCTCCACCTAACAAAACATGGAAGTTCCTAGACCTACTAACAAAAATATATTGTCAATGAAAATATAATAGTTAATGTAATTTCAGTACATTTGACTGTGCTTTCACCATCTTGATTCAATTTTTCTCACACACTTTGACAGTGTATCTTTATGTCTTTTTGAAAAACGTGATATTTATATCCTCTCTAAAATGACTCTTGTACACCCTGACATCCTTTTTCTCCCTCACCTTCTCTGCCTCCATCATGTTGCTATTATCTACTTTAAATTCTAAGCTATGGTAATCAAATTGTCTTTTCCTTTGCTGTTAGCTATTTTTTCTTTTTTTTTTTTTACTTTTTTTGGGCAATGGGGTGTGTGTAATCCTTTTATTAGCTCTTCATAGGTATCACTACATTTCATCTTTTAAATTCTTGTTTATTCTATTACAGTTTTCCCAGTTTTCCCCCCTTTGTCATCCTCTACCCAGCCCACCCCCCACTCCCACTGCTCATCCCCGCCCTGTTGCTCATGTTCATGAGTCATTCATGCATGTTCTTTGACTGATCCCTTCCCCTTCTTCCCGCCATTCTCCTCACCTTCTCACACCCCCTTACTTCTGGCAGCTGTCAGTGGGTTCCCTGTTTCCAGGTCTCTGGTCTGTTTTCCTCATTAGTTTATTTTCTTCATTTGAGTCCTCATGTAAGTGAGATCATATGCTATTTGTCTTTCACCAACTGACTTATTTCACTTAGCATTATAGTCTCTAGTTTCATCTATGCTGTTGCAAAGGATAGGAATTCCTTCTGGTTTCCTTGTCCAGCATAGTATTCCATTGTAAATGTACCATAGTCTTTTAATCTGTTCATCTACGGATAGGCACTCAGTCAGTTTCCATCCCTCGGCTATTGTAGATAGCACCACTATGAACTTAGGAGGGCATTAAGTTCTTTTGAATTGATTCAGGATTCTTACGGCATATTCCCAGAAGTGGAACTGGTGGGTCATAAAGCAGTTCCATTTTTAATTGTTTGAGAAAACTCCATACTGATTTCCACGGTGGTTGCACTAGTCTGCATTCTCACCAACAGTGCACTAGGATTCCCTTTTCACTGAGATTCCCTTTTCACAAGAATTCCCACATCCTCATCAGCCCTTGTTATTTGTT